GATTTAATTTTGACCAAAGTACATTACTTAAACATTAATTTTTAATTCAACTTGTTAATATGTTGTTTAGGATACTGCATCCTCATTTATAAGTGAAGTATGTTTGTAATTTCCCCTTTATAATAATATATTTTTTCCAATTTTAATATCAGGTGTATCCAGATGAAGTAGGATGATTTTGAAGTATTTCCTCTTTTACTATTGTCTATAAGATTTGGCATGATCTGTTTTTTTAAATTATCTTTTGTTTTTATTTAAAAATATTAGTTGTCTACTTTGGAAAAAAAAATATGAAGAAGGTAACTGATGACTCCATACGGAACCTCAGAGTCACAGCATTCTATCATAGACATACTCTTATTTGACCATGTGAATGTTACTTTTTTTGCATTATTATTATTATGATTGCTCAATAAAAAAAGAATGTTCAGAATAGATAAATCTATAAAGACAGAAAATAGATTAGTGGTTTCCTCGGGCTGAGGTGGGTAGATGAAAGGGGAGACTGCTAATGGGCATAGACTTAGGGTGTTAACAAAAATGTTTTAAACTTGAGTATAGTGATGGTCACACAATATTAAAACCATTAAATTGTGACTTATAATTAGGTAAATTGTATGGTGTATGAATTAGATCCCCCAAAGTGCTTTTTTTTTTTTTTTTTGAGACAGAGTCTCACTCTGTCACCCTTGGTAGAGTGCCAGGTTGTCATAGCTCACAGCAACTTCAAACTCTTGGGCTCAAGCGGTTCTCTGGCCTCAGCCTCCCGTGTAGCTGGGACTACAGGTGCCTGCCACAATGTCTTCTTATTTTTTGGTTGCTGTTGTCATTGTTGTTTAGCAGGCCTGGGCTGGCTGGTGCCCCATTCACTGAGCTAGGGCACCAAGCCCAAAGTGTTATTTTTTCACCTTTCTGATGATAATAGGAAATTTTAAAACAGTGTTATTTTTACAAAACAGATAACTGTTTCAAGCAAAAATAATAACAATGTATTGTTGGATTTATAACATAGAAGCAAACAGCACAAAGGGGAAGTAGAGTTATATTGTTATAAAGTTCTTACAATGCTCATGATAATATCTAAATAGTACACTATGGTTAAGTTGAAAATATATATTGTAAACCTTAGAAAAATCACAAAAAATGAATAAAGATATAAAAAGAGTTATAGCTAATACGAATAAAGATAAAATCAAATCATAAAAGTACTCAGTCCCAAAGAAAGCAAGAAAAGAGGAAAAAAGAGCAAAGAACAGGTGCAACAAAGAGAACACTAAGAGCAAGATGGTAGATGTAAACTCAACCATATGTTAATAATCTTAAATGTAAATGGTCTAAACACACCAGTTAAAAAGCCAAATATGTCAGATTGGATAAATGACACAATTACATGCTATCTAAAAGAAGCCCACTTCAAATATAAAGTCAGTAAGGTGAAAAATAAAGGATAGAAAAAAATATTCCATGCAAACACTAACAGAAAAAGTAGAGTGATTGATTATATTTATATCAGACCAATTAGACTTCAAAATAAGGAATATTGTCAGGGATAATGAAGGATATTTCATATTGATGAAGGGGTAACTCCTTGAAAGGGCACAGCAGCCCTAAACTTATACACTAAGCATAGAACTTCAATATACAAGAAGCACAGACTGAAAGAACTGGGGGCGGGGGATTAAGAAACTAAGGAGAAAGGTCTGGGGAGCAGCTCTAGTCTACAGCTTAGAGATGGAACTTGAAGCCTTGGTAATAATGAGATCACTAGAAGCAGATATAAGGGAGAAAAGAGATCAGGACATAAGAAATTCTGACAAAGAAGACAGAGAAATAATCATCAGACAATAATGGCACAATGGTAGATGGAAAACAAGGAGAGTTATGGGGTCATGGAGTGCAAGGGAAGAGTGTTCCAAAAGGCATAGCATGCTCTGTTGTGTCAAACGCTGCTGAGAGGTAAAATGGGAACTGAAAGCCTTCAGCTGCATTTACACTAAGAATCACTGGCATGAGAAGCATGGGTAGGGAAGGAGGGGTGTGCACAAAAGCCAAGTTGTAGTGGATTGAGGACTCAGCAGGAAGTGGAGATAATGAACAGCGACTTTGATTGCAGTAGGCTTGGCAGAAAAGGGCAGGAGACAAAGGAGGTTGTAAAGTCAAGGTATTTTGTTGTATTTTTAAACTAGGTTACAGTGGAAGGAGCCAGGCAAGTGAGGGCATGAAGATACAGAGAGGGGAAGGAATAAGCAATGGAGCCATGCACTTGGGAGCCAGCAGAGGTGGGAGCGGGTATTAGATCTCTGATGGAGAAGGTAATGGAAAGAGGAACACCTATCACCCAACATGATGGGGGCCAGGGGCACAGATAGGCATGGATTGCAGATAAGTTTGGAGCTCAGGACAGAGGTTAAAGGAATTTCCTCCTGAAGGGTTTTCTTTTCTCTGTGAACACACAGTCTGGGTTGACTGCTGAGAATGAGTAGGGAAACTGTGGTGTAGAAAGGTACAGTAAGTCCTCACTAACATTGTCAGTAAATTCTTGGAACATGTGACTTTAAACAAACGACATACAGCAGGTCATTGAATAATTATCCTTTCATTCAACATTGTTTGGTTATAACATTAATGAGAAAAAAATTGAGTTCACTATAATGTCATTTCACTTAAAGGTACAGCTTCCAAGAACCTAGAGATGATGTTGCGGATTTACTGTAGAGGGTAAGGTGAGAGCCTTGAAATCGTTGTGAAGCAAATGGAGTAGGCCTAAGGCTGCAGAGCTGCTGGGCATTGCTGGGGGCTCAGTGGAGGCTGTGGATCATGAATTTGGACCAATGTCAATCCATGAAGGAACCCCTCCCCCGAAACCAGGACTGGAGAAGGTGGGCGGGTGCCATGTTGTAAGGTTGGGGTGGGAGACTAAGGAGCCAGGTGGTGAATGCTATGCAGCTGAACTGACAGGCTGGAGGGTCCATATGGGATCAGAACAAAAGTCGATTCAGAATGAGGACAAAAATTAGGACTCAGAGGCCTGAAGTTCTCCAAGAATAGACACAATGCACAGGACATACAAAGAGATTAAGATTTCAGAGGTGGAATACTTTCAAATGATGACAAGATGCCAGTAATGGCAGGAGGAAATCGAGATGATGTTCAACAAGTTGAAGACAACAGGAAACTTAGAGGTCAAAATATGGAGACACTGTCCTCATGGACATGGAAGCTCTCTATGTTGGGATGAACATAGATGAAACACTGTGAGCTAAGAGTCAAGCTTCTCTTGCTGTACTGTATCCCTAAGTAGCCAGACCATCTGACTTTGCACCAATTATGATTATTCCCAACCTGCAGAGGTAAGTCAGACCTTAACCCTGAGACCTCCTGGCTCCTCACTTATCTTATATATCTACATGCAGCTCTGTGTGCCCATACAGGACTGAACATCTTGAATTGTGCAGTTTTGCCTGACATTAAGGGACACTGGCTGAGTGCAGAAGAGCCAGAGTAGTTCTGGGGACCTGGTGAAGTAGAGAGGCACCAAATACCAGAAACAAGCCAGCCTAGAAATCCATCAAGGCTGGAAGTCCCTGCCAGCCAGCCATCAACTGTCAATACATAGACCACACTATGCTCAGAGCCTCCCTTCATGTCAGGCAAGGTTATAGCCAAAGGACCACTCGCTCCTACATGGCAAGGCTGGCCCCTTCACCTTCAGTACATAAAATGAACCCTGGGCAGGAGGCCTGGATTCTAGTTCTGACTCTACCATGAACTTGCAGTGTGACCTTGGATCAAAACTGGAGGCCTTGGTTTTGCCTGCTAAGCAAGATGTTGGGTGTGGGATCTCAAAGATTCTTGCAGCTTTGACAGTAGGTATAGGAAGGAGACTCCCATCAGCTCACATCACTCAAAATGCACCAGCTGGAACAGATAAATGAGCTGAAGCCTTCAAGCCTCATTAGTGTCACCACAGCAGAGTTGTCCCTCTGGAGTTTACTTCTTGCAAGCCTCCTCCTCCTTCCTAAGAGCCTCTGAGGCAGGCTCAAGTGATAACACCTGCTCCCATCTATCTCTTCATGATATTTTCTTTAGACTAAAAAGTCAATTGGCCTGAGGCCATGTGTAGAAAAGGAGAGGCCTAGGGAGCCCCTGTCATGGGGCCACACCTGAGACCCTCAGCACTCCACAGAGCTTCCCTTTTAGGGTGCTATCATCACAAATCCCCTCAGAAACCCAGGACCAATGCGCATGAGGAGGCAGATCAGAGCCCCAGATGTCTCCCTATTTCTCTGGGCCAGGCCCTGGAAGGGCAGGCATATTTCCCAGTGCTGGGAACCCTCAGCAGCCACTTTGTAGCTGGGAATGGGATCCCATTATCTTGCTATATCTGTACACAGGCCTGAGTCCCCTCCTTTATAGCTGTTTCTGACCATCCCCATGGCCAAGAAATCCATCCTTGGGACCCCCAACATCTATAAACAACAAATGAGGTCCTAGTCAGGACCCCTGGGCAAGACCCACCTCCTGAGTGCAGAAGATGAGCCTGGGTACCCAGCCTGGGGCTGGGGGTCTTCACGTCTGAATGTCTGGGCATAGGAAGGTATGGGGGAGTACCGTAATACTGCAATTCCCTCCGTGGTTCTGGGCCACAGTGTGACTACATGGAGAGAACATCTGCTTTTTGGGAAGGCCTGGATGAGAATCCCAGGTCAACCTGGTGAACAGAGCCCAGGACTCTGGGCCCTCTCATCAGTACCACCTGGCTAGAGTCAGGGCCAAAGGATTACAGGAGGCTCAATGGGGAACAGACCAAGGCCACAGTAGGTGCAGTAACTGCAGTCATTGAGGTGACACCCTCCTCCAAACCCCACTTCACACCACCACCTGAGCAGATGTGGGATCCATGGCCACAGGGTCACCCACGCCCTCCCATCACCACCCTGCACAGCCTGCCACGGAAGGCTTTTCTGGGGTCAGTACTCCCTCCTCCCCTGCCAGCTCACCGAGCGATCTCCCTTCCTTCCTTCCAGTATTTCCTTCTGCTTGTTCTCCTGAGGAGGGAAAGAAGGAGTGACTCTCCACATCCTTGCTGCCTTACCTCATTATCCCTGCTCACTGCCTGGCCAGACTGTGGTCACTCAGGGCCTCCTTCATGCCCTTGTCCCAGCCACCTAGTAGGTGAGTTAAGGGATAGGTTAGGTGGAGGGGATGCCACAGGGTCTTGTTCTGTGGGCCCAGCACAGCAGGCAGTCAGCCCAGAATGAGGGCATGATGGCCAGATTGACAGGAAGTGGGGATGGGCAGAAGCTGGAAGGAGGAGGCCACCAGAAGAGGCAGAGAAGGCAGGAGCATGGAGCCCCTGGAAGAGATAGGGAGATAAGGGGAGGGGGGTGGGCATGCTTTTGTGGTGGAGTATCCCCTGAGATCCCAGAAAGATCCTGGAGTAATGACGCCTCCCTGGTCACTTCTCTAGAGCCTGAGGGTTTTGGGAGGGAGGGCTGTGGGACCCCATGTGGAGATGGGGGAACAGTACTGGGGGAAAGGAGGCCTTGGAACTGCAGGGGGTGAGTTCAGTGAGGGTGGGTGGGTGTAGTGATGCAAGGACAGGGTTCATGAGCTAAAGGCAGGGGTGTTGAGTGCTTACCCATCTCTTCGGTGGCCCCGTTTCAGGGGCCCAGGCTTCCTGTGCTGCTTTGAATGCTGAGATCCCATGGGCCGGGGAGTGCCTCCTGGGAACAAAATCCCTGTCTTGGCAAAAGAAAGAAACCCAAAAAGAAGACAAAGGTGTCCTGGCCCCCATAGTAGCCAGAGGATGAGGTGAATTTGAGGACTGGTCAGGCTGCCCAGGAAAGCCTTGAGCCTGTTGAAATTCCTGTATTCAGCTCAGTATTGAAGCCAGCACAAGCCCACTTGGGCATCTTCCTTCATCACCATGGCAACAGCCAGACTAACAACCACCATCGCTGATTAATTAGGACATGGAAACCCTTCTGCTCCGCAGCCTCCCTCTCAAACCCTCAGGACCAGACTGAATCCGCCAGGTCTCAGTGGCCATGCCACACAGGGACACCCAATTGCTGGTCTCCATGGTAACACAGACACCAAGTATCCCTGCATTAGTAAGTTACTATAACAACCCAGGCAGAGGCAAGGGCACTAAAGAACAAAGGCCTCATCTGAGGAACCACCACCAGAGAACACATTCACTGTTGCCCTCTCTGTGGCAGCCCTGTTCTGGCAGCCACAGATGCTGTGCCTTCTGGGGACTGATGGCAGATCTAGGCTTTGCTTGTCTGCATCCCCAGCCCCTTGTCCTCTTGCTCCACCTAAAGTGCCCCCTGGGTGATCTCATCTCCTCCCCGCGCTTCACCTCCCATAGCGCTCACACTAACAATGTTCGGGCCTGCACTGTGCGCCCAGTCCTGCCTAAACTCTAAACTCTATCTACCTGCTGTCTGGGTGGACCTCCTGTAAGTCTGAGTGTTCATTCTACACATTCTGTTTCTGTCCCCAAGACATCACTGTAGCTTCCTGCTTTCCCCTGCCCACCTTCCCTTGCCAGTGCAGACAACCATCAAGCATTTCTGGTGCTATCTACTGAGCACCACTGGAATCTACCTACCTCTTTCCCTAGACTCACTTCTGAGTCAGCCTCCTTGTCTATAGCTCAGAGCTTGGATAAGGATGATATCTATGTCCAACTCCCTCCTCTCAAATCCACCCTCCAACTGGCATCAGAATGAGCTTTCTAAGATCATGCCCCTTTGATCTGCTTAACCCCTTCAGAAGCTCCCCACTGCCTCAGGACATAACCTAAGCTGCCTTATTCTAAGTTTCCTGCCAGCTTGTCCAGCCTCACAACTAGGCCCTCCCTAACTCCCAGATAACATCATCTGCTGTCTCTCCCTTCCCTCCCTCCCCTCCCTCTAACCCCACTTTCTTTTCCTTCCTTGTCTACCCTTGGTCACATTCTTATAAAAACTATACCCAGATTTTCAGTGAGGGCTTGGAACAATTATTAGGAGTCATCAGGATCCAATTTCAAATATCTCGGGGGAAAGTGATACCTAGATGCAAATCCAGACACTGCTGGTCCCACCCTGATTGGATCCTGACATCTAGGCCCTAGTCTGTCAAACAGAAACTGCAATGGCTGAGGAAGAAGGGTGCAAAAGTGAGCTCATTCTGTCAACTCTCATGGCCTCCAAGGAACAGAAGAACCACAAACTGCATCTCGGCCCTCTCATATTGCAGACAAGAAAATCAGACTCAAAGGGAGGAAAGTCAGAGCCAAGGCTAAAACCAGGTCTCCCAATACGTAGTCTGCTGTTCTCTCTCTACTTGCATACATGCCTCAAAGATCCAAATCCAGCCTCAGGGAAGTCTGTACATGCACAGACACACTGTATGTGGGCAGCTTCCAGGTGGGGGAAGCATACATGTGCACACACCTGCCATTGGAGACCTCATCCATCGCTCTCTCATGAACTCTCCTTCAGTTGTCTCTGTCCTGCTGCAGGTGAAATGGAGCCTTCCAGTCATAGTCAAAGGGCATCTCAAAGCCTATACTCAGGCCAGAACTTTCCCAAGTACAATGTCCTCCCTGGCCTCCTTCCTGTTGAAGTGCTCAGGTTTATATACCGGTACATAGGGTTAAACTAGGGAAAGCGGACAGGAAAGGTGGACTTATCAATTGTAGGTGAGGCCAGCTTCCTCCAAAGAGGCCCATCATTAGCTTTAGTCTGGCCTATGGGGCCCAGCTGCTACTGAGAGGCTTTGCCCATGACACCCTGAGAAAAGCCAGGGAAGGATGGCCAAAAAGACGGTTAAACAGAGCCTCAAGGCTGCATAAGCTGTATCCCTCCAGGGTCATGGCTCCCTGGGGTAGGCAGCCCATTTGAAGTGAAGCTGATGTGTTAAGTGATTATGAAACATCTTCATGCACAGTTTGAGCATCAGGGTACTTGCTTCTCCCAGAGTGGTCCATCCACCTCTGCAGTGGCCATTTCTTCTTTACTTCAAGCCCAAACACATCTTTCTTTGGTTCTAGTTCTGTCTTTCAGGGCCTTACAGAAAGTGACTCTTTGATCTGTCACAGCGCTTTGCATTAGAAGTGTATTTAATGGTGAGCTCAGCCTTCTAAGGAGAGTGATATTATTGCTATTTCACAGAAGGGGAAACGAAGGCTCACAGAGGGGAATTGACTTGCCCAGTAAGTGGATGAATGCATAGGAGGAACAGGAATGACCTTCAACTGCTAGGCTGGGGGACTGCACAGCTCTGTGTGCACTGGGGGCTCAGAAGGGAGATTGCAGAGTAGAACAGGCAGGGCACAGGTGCTTCTGATGCATGTCACCTGAGACCCTCAGATCCCCACTGTGACAGGCATGTGGACACTTAGTGGCTGAGTGACCTAGGCCTGGACCCTGACATGACAGTGCCTCAAGTCCTGGATACAATTTGACATCTTGGGCACCCCTTCAAACATTGATCTTTCTGAAATGTTTGTTTACCCTTAGACTAGCTGAGCACAGCCGGGGACAGGGAGAGGCCATTCTCTGGTGCCAGACCCTGTTCAACAGAACAGAAGCCCTTTAGTGAGCGAGACCTACCCTCTGCAGAAGGCTGGTCAGCAAGCATCCATGTCACTTCAGCATCTCACCTCCCTGTCACAAACAGATCATCACAGTCTTCCTTCAGCCACATGCTGTCCTCTCCCTGGGAGGAATGCAGGCACATGTAATTTTCTCCACCTCCGTATATGTTCAGTGATGTTTTGACTTCCTCTTAGATCAGTGTGTCAGGGAGGCTGTCAAGCATATCTGCTTACCCAGCCCTGGCTAGACGTGATTATAGGAGTAGTACAAGACCAACATGTTCTGTCCTCCAATTACTGCAGCAGTTACCATGGCAACCCACAGCCCTCTTTGAGGTGCCTGAAGGCTGTAGCAGGTCCAGAGGGATGGGGTGGAGGATGGGCATTCAGAAAGGACAGCCTATGGAGGAGCCTCCTGGGTCTTCTGCTACTCTGGACACCTGCTCAGAGGGGCCCAGGGGGTGCAGGTTCAATGGAGAGTAGAGGCAGCAGGCCAAGCCAGTGCCAGGTGAGCTGAATGAGGCACTCACCTGGGGTAGAGAACTTAGGGACATGCCAAAAAACTTGGTGGTCAAGAGATATAATGCTTAAATCAAAATTAATGCAAAAATGTCTGTGATAAACAGGGATGTGATCAAGGTAAGGCATGTGAGGCCAAATCCAAGGTTGGATCTTGTCTTTATTGAGATTTTGGTTTTGTTTGTTATGCAAATTTTCGCATTTACTTTCATTTTCAAAAATACTGCATAAAATATTATCCATCTTGAGCTTTTTGGAGGGCCTTTAAATTTTGCACTTGAGGTGAATGCCTCCCTAGCTTCACTCTAAGCTCAGCCCTGGGGGGAGGGACAGACTGAGTAGGGGCTGGAAGGACCTGATGCAATTGAAATCACATCATACCACAAGCAGCCAGGAGATGTGGGTTGACATCTGTCAACTGCAGGTCTTCCTCTCAGTTCTGACAGAATCTGACTCTGATTTCACAAGACTCTGCAACATGAAGATGGCTGTTGGGCAGCATAGGTTCCTAATGTACACATGGGTCCCTTATAAACTGGGGTGACAGTGACTTATGAGGTGGCTTCCATCTCTTGCCCTCCCTCAGTTGGCTGCCATGGGGAAGAGAGGGGAGAAGAAGGGAAAGGGGAAAGGAGGGGGCGAGCAGGGAAGAGGCTGGCAGTTTTGCAAGACTGGGAGCAAGAATGGCAGATTAGCTGTAATTGCCTGAAGCTGAGCAAGGCTGTTGATAAATGTTACTAATAGTCAACCTTCAGATCTGACACCCAGCTCAGGCTGGGATTACTGTTTTGAATGGAAATTGAACCCAAACCAGCAATTATCCCTGTGAGCGATGCCAGTCTTACTCTGGAGCCTGTTCTAGGTAGGGAAATGGCACCTGCATGTCAGTACCAGACCATCAGAGAAAGGACTCAGGAAGGATTCCTTCCTGGGGTCATGCCAAGAGCACAAACTGGCCTTGACCCTGCCAACACAGTGGGACACAGTCAACAGGAATAAATCAGGTCCTTCTTCCTAGGACCTGCAGTAGATGAGGAACCCCTGCTTGTCATCTGCAGTCTCTAAGCAGAGTCCAGACCTCAAGCCTCACTCCCTCTGTACTTTTTCTCAGATATCCAAACCAGTTGATTGGGGAGGGTGGCTGTCCCCCTAACAAAGGTACAGCCCTCCCAGCCTACCTTCAGGACCCTTAGGCAGTCACACATTATTCCTTGTCAGACTAGAAGCCTCCTGGAATGACCTAGGCTGAGGTCAGGAGATGGGGACTGAGGCCACAATGGGCCCTAGGGTCCATACAGCTCTGGTCTCTGGTTCCTGCTTGCTTCTAATGTCAGAAAAAGACCAGACAAAGTGCCAATGGCCAATTTTTTTTTTTTTTTTTTTTTGGCCAGGGCTGGGTTTGAACCTGCCACCTCCAGCAAATGGGGCCAGCACCCTACCATTTTGAGCCACAGGCACCACCTGCAATGGCCAGATCTTGCTAGAAGACCTGAAAACAAGCAACACTCTGTGGTTCTCCTTGTGTCTGCTTGGTGCCTCTCATCCTATCCAGAAACCCCTGGAGTGCTGGCACTATTTGGAACCAGGCCAGAAGGGGAAACACTGCTCCTCTCTCCGTACTGACCACACGCCCCCCCTTCCTAGGGTATATTCTGTGCTTGAGTCCTCCTGGGCTTCCCACTAGG